TCCTTTTTAAATTAAAATTATATTATGCTCATTCTCTTAAATCTGTCTTGAAACTTTATACTTTTTAAAATTTGCCCAAAAAAAACAAAATAAAAGATTGAGGTAATGATTTGATTCGTCATGTGATAAGCACTGAACATTAAAACAGTCGCTTTTTAAAGATAAAGTATTGTAATTAATAGACTTTTTTTTTTTTTTTTGATCAATTCGGCACGTGTCTACTTTATTTTTTTATCTTGAAAAATTAAAATGTAGTTATATATCTAATAATTGAAATTTTATATTTATTCATATACTTTTAATATGCCAATTATCATTAAAAAAATCAATTTGATTGGATACAAATTTTGAAATATATTTAAATTTAAAATTTTAATAAATAAATTCAGGACCATCTGAAATTTGATTTCACTAAACTTTATAATCAAATTGAGTATCTATATGAGATAAATTTATCACACTAAAAGAGTTCTGATTTGATTACAAACAAGCTTAAATCAAGCACTTATATTATTATTGAAAATTTTAGGATATTAATAGGAGGGTCAAGTGATCTACAAATCTAGTATGCTTACATTTAAATTGAGCACAAGATAAATCAAATGAGCCCAAAAGCACTTACTTTGACTTTATTAATGCTCTTAAATGCTGAAAGAAATAAAAAATTTAGGAAATAATATGAGTCGTCTATTAGAGTGTTATTAATTGTATATATTTTATTGAGTACGTTGTTCATAAAAATTATGAATAGACCTCTATCTTTACATCAATAAGACTCTATACTTGAGATTCAAGAGAATTCAAAGGCTTGAAGAATCCTGAAACTCCATCAGACCATCGTTGATTAACAACCACCATCAGACGACCATCATTTGATTGTCGCTAACAGACTACCACCAAAGGACCATTGCCATTATACCATAATCATTCGAGCATTGTTGTTTGACCACCATCATCCGAGCACAACCATCTGATCACAACTATCAGATAGTTGTTGTCTGAACTCTTCTTTTTTACCATTGATTACGTCCCTCCAACTACTATTGCTTGTTTATGGTCCTCTGAGCACCATTATCTGATTATAATCTCCTAATCACAATCACTAAACAAAGTCTCCTAATAACCATCACCTAACTTTGATCATTTGACTCTCATTATTTAACTACCTACCATCCTGTAACACCATCACTCGATTATTCTCCTTATAGCACCATTGTCTGACTATGATCTTCCAACCACCATCACCCAATTATAATCACATGATAACTATTACCTGACTATGATCATCTTACAATCATCCATCAACTATGTTTCTCTCCATTATTGCCTCATTATTGTCTTCAAATCACCATCACTTGACTGCAATCATTTGACTATTATCGCTTGATTGAAGTTCTTAGGTCATCGCCGCCTAACTATGTTCCATTGACCATTGTTGCTCAACTATAATATCTTATCCATCCTTGCTCTACTATGGCCACCCAACCAACATCCCCCAACTTTGGTCCTTCAACCATTATCAAGTGACTACAGTCCTTTGACCATCATCATCTAACTATAATCTTCCAACAATCATCTCTTAATTTTAGTCCAACCACGTCCATCCCCTAACTATGATCTTTTGACTACTGTTGTCAGACTACAATCTTTCAACTATCATTATTTGACTAAAGTCATTTAACCAACTCGCCTAAAATCAAATATTCTAGCCCTACAATCATCTAAAATCAAATATTCTAGCGAATTGAGGCATGGTTCAATGAGCATATGGTCATTAATGGTGGGATATTAAACATAAGATTTTATTGATATAGATGAGAGTAGCGAGCATCACAAGAGCGTACATACCTTAGTTCTTCATTCATCTGGGCTTCGACTTCCTCATCCATATTTGAAGCTACAATCACTCGTATCTATGAATGTCATGGTGAGACAATAGACTTAGAAATGGTAAAATCAGGAATGAGACAATGTCCCAAATTAATCGATGTTGAGTTGTGATAGTATATAACGGGAGAATATTTCAGAGTAATGTAATTCAAACTACCTTTTTTGCCAAAAAAGTTTTCCCATCAAATCCCAAAAGCCAAAGCATAATTGATTATGCATATAAGGACAATTTGATAGCTAAAACTAGAAAATAAAATCCTAGAAGATAAAGAGAATAATTTCCTAATTATTGCGGGCTAGAATATACGCGGCGGTAGAGTTAAAAAATTTCCGTCTAAGCGTTGTACGAATATCTAGCACACAAACATATGAGAAATAATAACAACATGATTTCTACATGGAAAACCCTGAAAGGAGAAAAACCACGGGGCCACGCCTAATTGAAAGAGTTCCACTAGTGTTTGCTTAAAATACAAGAGACTGACTCGTCCTTAAAATTTAGGATGATCAGATTACAATGAATCACTTCTGGATTAAAAATCAGTTACAACATCGGGCAGAGTTCCAGCGTCACTTAAAGATTGGAGGAATTCTAGCTTCACTCGGGCATCCGGCAGAATTCTAGCATCACTCGGGCGTCGAGCAAAATTCCAGCGATGGTCGTGAAAGAATTTCTTCCCTCCAATCCCTCTCTTCTTCTTCTCTTCTCTTTGCTTCGGTCCCCTCTCATGAGAAATGAGGGGTCTATTTATAGATATTCTGGAATGGCATAGCTTGTAAATATGTGTGAGATCAGGGGTAAATAGTGAGTGGTCGAATGGACGGCCGATATTGAATCCCTTGATCGTGCACGGTTCGTCAGACATTTGAAGGTCTTAATGATGTTGGAATTTGGCGATCTTGGGCTCGTTGGATTCGTCTCGTCGAGTCGCTCGATTCGACTATAAGAACGTTATATTTGGAAACCGTTTGTTAACTCAAATTATGGTTTGAACTTTCCAACAGCGCTTCGGGTGCTTGATTTGGACTCATGTGGGCTCGGATTGAGTTGAATTTTGTGTCGTTGAGTTCGTATTTTCGAGACGCTCAGTTTGACAGTAAGTTCGCTGAAATTGGAGTTTAGGTGATCCCGGATTTAATTTTTGAAGTTTTCGGTTTGATTTTGCCTCGAGATTCGTGCCCGATCAAGATGATTTTTTGAGGATATGTCACTAATAAAAGAATCAAAATGAGCATTTGGCATTGGATGAGAAGTGGTTGAATCACACCTTGATGGACTCGGGTTTTTAACTCAAGTTGATTTAGGCTACATCACAACCTCAATGCTCTTAATCACGATTAAAAAAAATAAATAAAATAAAAATAAAATAAAATAAAATAATAAAAAATAATAAAAATTTTTAAAAAATGCTCTTAATCTCGACTCAACGCCACCCCTTTCATAAAAAGTTTGTATTATGATAATAATAAAATTTCAAGTCAAAGTCAAATGAAGACACTTGAACAAAGATAAGACTTAATAACTTTCATGGTTCAATGAGCCTCACCTATATTTACAAACGCGTAGAGAGAAGAAATTCCACCAAACTTTATAAAAAGAGTGCAATGGATTTGTCTTTATACAGGTTTAGTAATAAGAATAAAAATATCATTATTGACATCAATGATTAAGGCTTCATGGGATGACTTTTTTGTTGCTTTCTAAAACATTTAAAAAATTTTAAATTAAAAAAAATTGTACTAAAAAATTGTTTCAAAAAACAATAAAAAAACCGTCCCAAAGGAAGCCTAAGATGAAACATAGTTACCAACGGTGTCAATCTTTCACACGACCCGAAAATCCGCTCGGACCTGACCAAAAAAATTCCGGATTAAAGTCAACCTATCTGTGAAACGGGTCGGTTTCATGATTCCGACCCATTTGTAAAACTTGGTCGGATTTGAGTTCACCTAGAAACCTGATACCAACCCAAGTTGACCCAGGAACATCATGCGTGAGTCGTAAACTCATCAGCCGGTCGTGCCGTCGATGCTTTCCATCCGCGCTGGCTAGTGGGATAAATGTCGTCGGTCGTCCCGTGACATCCTCCATCTGTGCTGGCTGAGAACGTCGTCCATGATTTCGTTTGTCCCGTAGTCAATAGCCATGCCATCGTCTGTGCCGTTGTCGATAGCCATGCAATCATCCGTGTCGTCATCCAACCCGTCCATGTCGTCAGTGTCGATCATCCGTGTCCCGTATGGATCTTGTTGTAGCACGCTCGAATGAACAGGTCGGATCCGAGTTGGGATTTTTGACTCATTTGTAAAATCAGGTCAGTTTGAGTCAGGTCAAATAGTAGCTGATTGAAGTTGGATTCAACCCGAATCCGACCTGTAATCCGATTTTGACATCCCTAATTACCAACTATGAAGACCTAGAAAAGGCTTTGCTATTTCTGTCCTACTTTCTTTTATGTGAGTGTGCAAACCAGAGTTTTCCTACGAAAGCCAAAAACTTTTCTTTTTGCAGTAATAAAAAAAGTAGCTCTTCCTCATTGAAGAAGTCGAACAGAACCCTTCTACAAGCACTTGTTATCTCATCGTTAACTTCCCTTCTCTCTCATCTCTCTCCATCTTCTTTTTTAAAGTGATTATAGGATATCAAATCAAACCCATAATTCGAAGGATCTGTTTAAAATTTTTTACGATATCTCACAAATTATAATCTATACCAATATCAATAATAAATCTCACAAGCACTTAAAATTAATAAAAATTTATTTAAGATTTATATATTAATATAAAATCTCCAAAATATTTTCATTGCCTGATGAAAATAAATTAATCAAACATTCAAAACTTCTTAAAAAACTAACCATATTTTTTGAAATTTTTTTTCAAAAAAAAATTTTGATACCAAAATTCCAACAACAGGCATGCCCATATAACTAGAACATTCTAGAACAAAAATGGGTAAGTTCTTCAAGGTTTTCTATTTAAAAACAAAATGCAGCAGAACAAAGTCAGTGAAAAAATAGAGAATAAGAAGAAACAGCATCTCTTTATGTATACTTCCATTGTCTATGAAAGCCAGAGCAGTGCAAATGCCACAAAATAACACTAACAAAGAATTATAACACTAACAACGTATATGTATTAGAAGTATAAGCGAGAAACAACCATGTATCAAATGGCTTTAAGCCTATATACTTACAACGGCCAAAAAAATTCAGTGAAAGCTATACCACTTGTAAAATATTCAGCAGTAGCTTCCGTTACAGCAACAATGGCGAAGTACAGAGGAGGAAACTGATACTGAAACAACACAGTTGGTTTTATATACAAACTCTATTTCTTTTCCGAACAATCCCTGCAGATGTGGATGAAGAAGAAGGTGAAGACAATGCAGACTTATCTAATTTTTCCTTGTCCGCAGTAAATGCTCTGTTGATATCATCTTGTAGTTCAAGGTACCTCTTCATTTGCTCCACCGAAGCGTTGTTGTGTCCAACAGAAGACAAATCGAAATTATCATCATCCATAATTTTATCCAAATACTCTGAGCACCGGGGAAAGAATCGTTTGCCAAGTTTAACTGTAATGGAAGTTACTAAGCTCATTAGAGAGACTAGCAAAATCTTTTGGGTTTATTTGATTTCAATTTGGGTTGTCGGGTCAAGTTCGGGTCTGATCCAAAGTTAAATCAGAATTAAATATGCTTGGCTTGAACTTGACCCGAGTAAATTTGTTTAACCCAAACCAAACTAGACGTAAACCCGACATGTCTAAACATGACCCAATTAACTTAAATATGATTCATTCAACTTAATAATATACATCCCTATCTTAAAAAGTGCTTATAGCTTTTCAAAACTGGAATTTAAATAGTTATCAGGTTAATTTCAAGTTGATTTTGAGTTATTCGGGTCAATCTAAACCTAACTTGAATAATAATTAGGTCCAAAAAACCCAACCTGAACTGACCAAAATAGTAAATGGGTCAATCCAAAATAGTTTTTTCAAGGCATATGTGTCAGTTCATTTATTGACAACCCTAGGCCTATAACTTCAGAAAATATACGTTGAGAAAAACTGGCACGTCAAGGGAATTCTAGGAAGTAATATTGTAGTTTGTATTGTGGCAGATGAAAGAACAAGATTTGCAGTAAGATGGACAGAACAAAGACAATGCTGAGAGTTGATGAAACAATAATAAGTTCAGGAATACCTGTTGTAGAAAGAGCTTTTATCCGGGCTAGATGCTCTTCCTTAATCTTGAAAGGTTCTTTATTCAAGTCGACAGTGGATCTCGGGTTTGCAGTAGTGCCCAGTGTAAATTCCAAGGTACCATCAACATGAGCAATCTCCATAGCGACTTTTGCCTCCATTGGAAACAACATCCTCGCAAGTGCAACTGTGTTGTGGTTCAACCAGAAGAGAAGACGTTTATTTAAGAAAAATACTTACAGAATAATCATAAAAGCATTTTTATTTTTTATGAAACGAATAAAACGGCAGCCTTCCGATGACCCGGTTAGGAAAGTAGAGGTATTAGTTTGACTTATGTTAAGAAAGGTACTGGTTGACCTAAAGACCTTGCTAGAAAATATTAGAAATGATATTTCTTTATTAGATTTAAATGAGAAATTGATTTTTTAACATGATACAATGAAGACAAAGAATTCATGTAGCCGACCCGACGTAGTGGGACAAAGGCTTAATGTTGTTGTTGTATGAAATGCTGTTCATGCGAAAGCAAAAGCAAACATGCTGAAGGAAGAAACAAATAATTACAACTTAGAAAACTGCCATAGAATCATTTGATAAGTAAAAGACAGATTCAAAAAGCAAGAAATTGAACGAAATAAAATTTTGTAATTAATAGCATTCTAATCATTGGCTGCCAAACAGCCAAAAAAACAACAGCAGTTAATGAGAATTGAACATTTTGCACTGACTACTCTGCAAGTTTTGTTTTAGCAGTAAAGTGAAGTTGATGGAACAGAATAATAGAGCAGTTACCTCTGGACATAACTTGTTTGAACTCTACTATGCCTCTCTAGAGTGAAATTAAGAAGAGTTTATATCATTTTTGCTCGGCAGAATACAGTGTTAAATCTAATACTACTAACAGACCATACAAGAAAGAGGATTAAAAAAGAGTGAGCATCCATTACCTCTATTCTCCAAGTACAATAATATTCCATGCTGGTCATTCCCAGCCATTGCCAGAGAAAAAACTTCTCCTACGAGTGGATTTCTTTTTTCAGCATGCTCCAATATACCAATACATAAACGCCCCTCCTCAAGAGAAGCCCTGCCTTCTATGTTCCTACAATAGTCCACATACTTTGTAATTCTCTTGGAAATTTGAACTGCTTTTCTACCATCTAATGTAAGATCGGACGGCCGTGCTCCTTTCGTCAGGAGAGAAACTATGATCTTAGGTTCTTTACGCATGGCAGCAACATGTAGCACAGAATAACCCCTAGGGCTCACATGGTTAACATCTGCATGACCATAATCTAGAAGTTCCATGGTGATTTTTGTATCGCAATGAGCCACGGCGTAATGGAGGGCATAAGCATCATCAAGGGAAGTAGGTCCCTCTGTCAACAGCATTTTCACTAATTCAATGTCGTCTGAATCTAAAGCTCTGTAAATTCTCCTAACATGTTTATCAGGAAAAACAAGGCCCTCACCGCCTCGCAGACCGAGATTTGAACGTGTCTCCATGACTTGGTTAACTATATCCAGGGGCAAGACCTTCTCTAGAGTTACAATATGTATGTCCGACTTGACAACAATCTCTACACACTTAATAAGCAATCTTTCACATGCTATATTGCAGAATTTTGCAACACAAAGGATTAGTGGTATTTCATCTATTGCTATCTTGTCAATAATATCAAGAAGATGCCTCTGCAAACAAAGAATAAATTCAATTAACATCAAGACCAAAAAAAAAAAAAATGGTTCATAATACATAAGAGTATAAGTCTAATTACTTAATATACAAATCATTAAAGAGAAATAGGATAAATAGAAATCAACCAGGTGTAAAGAACGAACTGGTTTGCAAGCTAGTGTAAAAAATCTCTCTTCTCAAAAAATTAAGAGAATCCCTATACAAGGGACGGTAGAACAAATTCAAGCATCAAGAACATTTTTTTTTTATTATTTAATTTTATTTTTTAGTGGTAACCCAAATCACCCTTTTAGAAAATAACGGAATTATAGCAGTAGGCTAGAAAAGCAATTCAATTCCTCAACGCTAGTTTATGGGCCAATATATATTACCAATATCTGAAAAAGCACAACAGAAAGTCGTAGCAAAAAAAAAAAAAAAACAGAGCTTTGATTAAATTCATCGTCTGGAAATGACCTAAATAGGAAAACCCAACGCAATAGCGCAGAATTCCCCCAAAATAGATGAACTGACGCAGATAAGTACTTTTTTGGGCTTTTCCCCACCTTATTTACTTGATAACAGATTCATTATTTATTCCATAAAAGATAAAAAAGATATAGAACAGAAGCAGGCATAAACAGCCAAGCTGGGCTGACCAAGCTTATAATCTACTCAAGGTCACTGCCCCACTGGTTTTAGATTTGTGTGTGAATTTGCAGAAAAATTCAAACAGCACGGCAATTTCAAACAATAAACTAATTCCAGTAACCTAATTCGTCAACGCGGAACCTATTTCTGGAAAAATCACAGTTTCAATCAGCCTACCGTCTAACCCAACTGCAAATGAAGAAAAAAATAAGGTGCAATGGCGCCGAGAAATACCCAAATTCTTACCTGAAAGAGGCTGACTAGTTCGGAGATCTTGAACGTGAAAGAGGCAAAGAGCACCTCGAGCATAAACCCCACCGAAGGCCGGCATCCAACATGTGCACATTCATCATCGGCGCACATACACACATCCTTCGGCAACTGACCTACCCTCCCGCTGTACAGATAATCAATCACGAGAACCAACGCCTCGAAGCCCACATCGAACTTATCACCCACCAATTCCTTCATCTCAACCCTAACCGGCAGGTCCGGCGCCTTCTCCTTTCCCGCAAAGACATCTCGAAAAAAGGAACTCCGCGCGGAGAGCAAGCAACGATGGACGGCGAGCTCTTTGGCACCGACCGCAATGCGGGCATCGGAGAAGAAATCGAAGTCGGGGGATTGAAGGAGATATAAGAGGTGGTCGGAGAGGCGCCGGAGGCTCTCTATTTCAGGCGAGTGGGATTCAATGGCATCTGCGAATTGGATGCTGCTGCCGTTGTCGGAATCCGAAAAGGCCGGGAGTTGAGCCGTGGAGATCATCGGCGGCCCGGCGTCTTCAGTGGTAGAGGACGAGGAGTAAGATCACAGGAAGCAGAAGAGGGAATGATCCATGCGGAACTGGAGGGCAGGAGAGGGGAGAGATGGATTTTATGGGAGTGAAAAAGAGCAGGTCAAGAGGTAGATTTTGTATCAGTGAAAAGAGTTTCGTCTTTCTCAAGCCATCGTTTTTAAATTGGATAAACTTGCAGATTAATTTGGAAGTTTGCAGGTGGAATTTGTTTTCTTTTGTTTTTTAATAATTTTCAAGGAATTGTGAGCCTCTCGGTTTATCGAACATAAGAAAATAATATTTACATAAATTTGTAGTGAAAAATTAAAATTTCTAAAAAAACTAAAACAATCCCAATCCAGCTCAGAAGAGAGAAAAATATGGAGGGAGGGACGGCAGCGGCGAAATTATTTAAATAATAAATATTATATCATATAAATTATTATGAAATAAAATTTAAACATAGATGATTTTTCTTCTATACTATAAAATTAAATAATTATGCAAATAATACATTATATATCATTATATATATTTATTTTTCAAATGAAATCGCAGTTATTTTTTTATTAAAAAGAAACAAGAGCGACTAACATTGAAGGTGAATTGGACTTATACATATATTTTTTAAAATCATTATAAATCTTTTTGCAATAATTATAATTAATTATCTAACATTATAGAATATAAAATTCTAATAAATTTTTATTAATGCCTTAGAATGCAAGGTGGGCTCCAAGATGAAAATAACTACCTAGTAATAGAAGGAGATATTTTGGTATGTGTTTTCATCAAAATTGTTTAGATAAGTTATAAAGATAAGTGATTCCTCAAGAATAAAAGGTATGCAACAAAATTTTGATCAAAATCGGATGAACATATGAGGTGATTTCTCATTTTGCTAAGTTCATTTAGGGTAGGATCATGCTCTTTAGATCTTACTATCTATGTTTTTGTGGTCTTCATTAGAAGGGATTCTTTTAATTTTAGCCACATCATAATTAGTTGCATTTGTTCTAGAATAAGTCTTTCTCTTTTAACTTAGTCATTCTATTATTTGATCATATTATGTGTAATACCCAAGAATTTAATTTGAAATTATCTTTGAATAATAACAACAACCACGAGAGCTATATAATTTCTTTTATCAACAACAACAACATCAAGCCTTTATCCCACTACATGGGGTCGGCTACATGAATCCTTTTTCTCCATTGTGTCCTTTTAAAATACAAATTCTTATTTAAATCTAATAAAAAAGAGAATTTATAATATTTTCGAACCAAGTCTTTTTAGGTTTGCCTATACCTTTCTTAACATAAGTCAAATCTAATACCTCTACTTTCCTAACCGGGTCATCGAAAGGCCGTCTTTTTATGTGACCAAACCATCTAAGGCGACTCTATCTAATCTTATCATCTAATCGATCTACTCCAACCTTTTCACGTATATGCTCATTTCGTATCCTATCTCTAAGGGTAATAGATGGGGATATTTTTAGTAGAATTCAAATTGGATGAATGAAGTGGAGGAAAACATCAGGCTTGTTGTGTGATAGAGAAGTATCACTCAAACTTAAGGAAAAATTCTATAAGATGGTAGTGAGGCCTACAATGCTTTATGGTGCCGAATGTTGGCCATTAAAAGAGAAGCATAATATAGTCTTCAAAATAGTATTATAAAGTTTAGTAAGCCAAGAAATTCCTTCATCTCCTAAGCATTTCCACATCTCTATTGAATATCATCAGTCCAATAGCTTTTCCACCCTTCATTTTCTTTAAAGCCTCTCTAACTTTGATTTTATATTACGCGATAAAAAAAAATTTAATTTTCATTTAGGGTGCTAAGGTTATTACAGTCAATCTTTTTTCACAATCTTCATTAAAAAGTTTAGCAAAATATCTCATCCAG